TTTTTTTTTTTTTTACTAATGCCTTCAGTGCAGTGTGGACTTCCTCCTTCAATACCTTTGGTTCTTGCTCATATGCTACCTCTTGAAATGATTGAGTGTTGACCAATTATTTTTTGTACAGTGACTGTGCATTCTTTCCATTTTCCCGTGATGCTTGCCCTTGATGCACTGTTCAATATTCTGTGTTAGAGTCTTTCAATATTGCAGCTCAACTCTTGAATATTTTTCTCAGTTCTTTTAGCTTTAGGCATCTTTAGCATGTTCTTCCTTTTCAGCTTTCTACCTCCAGGTCTTCATACCTTTCATACTACTCAATCTTCTTGAACTGTCCTTTGAAATTTTCTGTTAAAATTTTCTGTTCTCCTTTACATCATCATTTCTTCTTTTTCAAAAAACAAATCATTTTATTGGGGGCCCGTACAACTCTTATCATAATCCATCCATCCACTGTGTCAAGCACATTTGTACATCTGTTCCCATCATCATTCTCAAAACATTTTCTTTCTACTTGAGCCCTTGGTATCAGCTCCTCATTTTCCATTCACTAAGTTTAAAGGAAAATTTCAAAGAATTTTCTGACTTCATTTTGGTCTTTTCGTTCCTGTCATTTTAATTACCTTTTGCTTTCTTCGTGTTTGATGTTTTTGATGCCATACTACAGTGCATCAGGTCTTTTGATATTAGTGCTGAGTTTGTCAATATATTCCTGTGATGGTGTCTAAAATTAGGTGGAATATACTTGAGTGTATTTTGTTTCTTCTGGACGTGTTTTCATTTTCTTCAGCTTTACCCTGAACTTGCATATGAGGAATTGATAATCTGTTCTGTAGTCAGCCTCTAGCCTTGTTTTGCCTGATGTCATTGAGCTTTGACATCAGATATAATCAGTTGTATTTCTATGTATTTTCTTCTGGTGAATCCAATTATATAGTCAGCGTTTATGTTGTTGAAAAAAGGATATTTGCAATGAAGAAGACATCGTTCTGACAAAATTCTATCCTGCATCAGTGGCTTCATTTCTATCACCAAAGCCAAATTTTCCAACGACTATTCCTTCCTCTTTGCTTCCAAGTTTTACATTCCAATTGCCAATAATTAACAATTTCTCTTGATTACATGTTTTATTAATTTCAGAGAAGAAATTGGTGAAATTCTTTAATTTCATCATCACTAGCTAGGGTGGTGGGTGTGAAAATTTGAATAATAGTTGCATTAAATGGACTTTCTTCTAGGCAGATTGGTAATATCCTATCACGGACAGCATTGTACTTCAATAAAGATCTTGAAATTTCTCTTTTATAGTGAGTGAGTTGCCATTCCTCTCAAATTTGTCATCTCTATCATACTAAGCCATATGA